AAGAGTCTATTATAACTAAAGTTTAAGCAGATTTCCCCCACTTTCTTCGCAACTTTAACGATCAACTAATGGCCCAACTGAAAATAAAAGACTTTAGAACTCATTTTACCGATTATAGTATATCTGTTACGAATCCGCAAATTACAACTCCACACCGAGCTTTAGAGATGTTCATAGCTTTTCTGACTTTAAGCGCTGTACATATTATGATTATAAAACAAGCTATAAATTAGTACGTCGAACACCTGAGGAGCTTGGTGTAGAGTTCTCTAATATTACTATGAAAATGATCATAAGGAAAGTGATCGTGAGCCAAAGGTTGGCATCTTAAATTTATAGCTTTCTCAATAGAATTAGTATGAATGCATTATGGTATAAGCATTGTATCCGATCTGATATTCTGTATGTAGAAATGTATGTATGTAAGTATATTGGCATGTATCCATAAGTAGTCATGTAGATTTTTTCTCTCTAAAATTATCCACACGGCGTCGTAAATATTTAGTCATTTAATTGCTAATTTTAAAAAATTCCTGGCGTACGGTTACTTGCGTGCAAATGATTGACGTTGGTTTAGTGGTCGTCGTAATTGATCTTTGAATATTTAGTTCGTAATTGTGACAGAAATTGATCTCGATATAAACTGTAAATATCGTTGGTACAAATTGTACAATATACATATTTAAGTTAGGTAGAAGCCCTGCAGGGAATTATTTCCCAACGGATTTTTAATGAAAAGGGCGAATAGCTGTGGACCGAAAAAGCTCGATTCGGAACTGTTGTTTTGGAATTTAGGTCATCCCTCGTCAAGTGTGTTTTGGAGACAAACCGGCTTCGTCGTTGTTCCATCCTCAGGGTAATTTTTCGTTCTGAATAGTGCGTGTTTTCAGCCCGCTTTTAACTCTTCCGTCTCAGTCCTTCTCAACTATCACTATTAGTTTATACATAAATAGTTTCCTCAGTATTCATTAGGGTGTTCGATTATTCACCTTTTTTCCAAACCCGGTTTTCGAGTTATTTTTTTTTTGTTCAAAAGTAAAACAAATAAAAATCAGTGAAAAATTTCCGTCACTTCAATGCATTTTTCCGATTTTTTCCGGATTTGGGTAGCGCTCTTGCCGTCGTAGCCGAGGCGCCTCTCGGCAGACAGTGGCAAACCTCCGAGTGTACTTCTGCTATAAAAAAGCTTTGTCAGAGGTGGAGTAAAAGTGTAGATCTCTCCATTTGGAATCAAATAGGATATACTGTACATCCCTAAATAATCTAGGATATAATTTTAAACCTATTTAGGGGTTTCCCTAATACTGAAAAAAACATTGAAAACTTCGAAAACTCAAAACTTTTATTGAGAGGTCAAGATTTGTATGGAATGAAAAAACCCGGTTTGTTCGATAAAAATCCGGTTTATTCGATATTCGAAAAATCAAGATTAAAAAAAAAACGCCTATATAAAGATATCCAAAAAACCTGGTGGAAACCGGTTTGGAAAAACCGAGTCAACCTTTGGTTGAGTCACATTTAACCAAATACTATTTAACTTCTTTTTTATTTTGTAATTTTTAAAATAATGTAGCATCAGTTATTTAAAATTTTTCCTACGGGGAATATAAAAAGTCGTACAATTAGTGGTTAGAAAAAACGGGTGTGTTTGGAGGCAGGTCCCGCCAGAGAACGCCTAACAAAAGCCAATCAATGGGATATCTTTCAGGTGGCACGAGTTATATATGTATATTATGTACATATGTATGTATGTTTGCAGGTACGTGTTTAAATACTTCTGCTTTCTGCTAATATTTCATTGAAAGTATAAGTAAATTTTGTGGTATTAGTTTAAGCAGAAAATGATTCAGTTACTAGTATCTATGTACATATGTATGTATGTAAGTATATATTCGTAGATTTATATGTGTGTACATATGCATTTAGATATGGATATAGTATATATTTGCAAATATAAGTCGGCATTTTAGCTTGGAAAACGCCGCGTGGCTTTGACCTTTAAACGTTCGCGCTACAACTCAGCAAAAAATATTTAAATTATTTACGCTCAAAGGTTTGTTACATATGTACATACATAGCCATGCGTCACAAATTTGCAATTAAATATGTAGGTTTTATATTTACATACAAATGTGCATACATATGTAATTGCAAATCATTGTGAGCTTTTTCAGAAATCGAGAGTTTATTATACAATAACTTATCATTTTATCAAAAAAGGAATTCACTGATTTTGTCACACATTTTTTACCATTCTTTTTTTTACAACCTATGCCCATGGCTACGTGCTAAACGTGATCTTATGACGGTTTCACACTCTTACAACAACAAAAACAGAAACAGTCTGATCCGTCGAATTTACATATGTAGTATATGCCTATGTATAGGTACTTCTTGTATATCTTGTAGGTTTGAGCGTTCATACTTATTTATGCGCGTTTGGCTCTCCGCTCTCGCAACATCATCAGTGGTACACTTTGCAACCGCGCATTGGTTTTTTTTTATGGTTTTTGACATGCTGACGGTGCCAAGGAAACGTCTCCTCACCAAGTGTTAAGTTGCTGAAATATTTGGTTGCGGAATATTCCAGAAGCGCCTCTTCATTAGGCATGTAGTGAATCTACACAAAAACGAGTATCGTGTCCATCCCACACTTGGATTTTAAAAAATCAGCACACTGTACAATGTAAAAAAAAGAACATAAATCTTCATACATACAGTGGCGAAAACATAAATAGGAACGTGAAATTTTAACAAGTGTTGGCTATTTTTCTATTGTTTATTTAATGTGTTCTTATTTTTTTATATGAAAGTATAGCCCGTTATCAAAAAAAACACCCTGTACGACCAAATTTCTAACTTGTACCAACATTAGGAAAATTCGACAAAGTTTCATCAAATTTGGGAGCTTTTAATTATATTTCTTAGTTTTATAGCCCGCTAAAGTTTAGTATAACAAGTGTATGCCCTAATTTTTTCTCGAAATTCCGATCAAAAAGTTTGAAATTTTTGATGACCAATTTAGTAATTCAAAACTAGTAAAGAAAAACTAAATGATAAAAACTTGTAAAGACAAATCGTTTCTAATTATTGGGCCACCAGTCTACATACTACATATGGAGTTATGCACTTACATTCATATCTATACCATGTGATATATGGTAAAAAAGAAAGACAAAAGACATTAATGGAAACTTACCGTGGTATAAAAATAGAAAAATCTTTTGGAAATTTTCCATACAATGTTCATATGTACGTCTGAATTTATGTACATACGTACTCAACTGCCCACACGCTCACACAAGTGTGTTTGACTGCAAATCATTCCCGAACATACTGTATTCGTATAAGTAAGAGAACATACATACGTAGGAGTTTATTGTTTGCTTGTCTAGAAAACGAGACGGCCGACTGTACGGTGGATTGAATTGCATTTATCAATAGGTAATACATGCTGACAGGACTGACTGACTTACTGAATGACCGACCGACTGGCATGTTGATTGGCAATCTGACTGTGGGACAATTTTGAATTTTTACCCAGCCAGCAGAGAAACGTAAATTTTGCCGACAGTGCAGTATAGTACAATTTTCCGTATCCGGAAACGAATAAAAAACGACTAAAGTTTTCATTTATTTTCGTATCCAAGAACGTCCACAAAACAACGGTGGTTTTCGTATCCGGAAACGAATAGAATGAAAAAGTATCTGTGAAGTGCAGAAGGAGAGCGTATTGAACGAAAAACTCAATCAGACAAATTTCAGTAAAAAAAGGCAAAAAAGTATCCGTTTGACAAACAATTTTCGGTATTTGTCTGTGCATACGTTTCTGCCACAAACTTTAGTTTCAAAACGGATCGTCAAAGTATCCGAAAATGGAATCGGTAAACATACAAAAATCCGCACTTCGTCCACTTTTCCCCATTTTCGAATCGATTTGCAGATTTTTTTGCTAACTGGGTAGTGAGCAACACACATTTGTGCTTTGGTTTGTATATCTGTGGACTTTTGATAAAAGAACTTCTCTCGAGTGTGGCCATTTTCTCTTCAAAGCAATAATTCATTGAGTTATCGAATGATACTTTTGTGTTTAATCATTAATTAGAATAGTTAAAGGTGATATCTTAATTAAAATTAAATAAAAATGTAAAATTTTTAAATGGAAGTTCCTTATAATTTACTCTAAATTTCAAACTACAGAAAGCACAGATGTTGTTTTGGCAAAAGTCCACAGATATGTACATATTAGGGCTGTGCGATTAATTGATTACTCAAAATTTTGGTTAATCATAATTCCAGTTACTCAATTAATCGATTAATTTAAATTTTTAATTAATCAAGAAGTAAATTTACTCGAGTAATTAAGCTTTAGATTAATCAAAAATCATTTTACTTGAATAATCGAGCTTTTGATTAATCATATCTTTGAATAAAACGGTTAATCACATATTAAAAAGAACATTTGAATGCACCATATACGTATAGTATATAAAGACAGTGCCATTTCGTTTCAGATGATTTTCTATAGCAATCCAAAGAAATAGTAAAATACCTTTTTATGTTTAAACCACAGCATTTAATATAAAAATTATTAAAATTTTAATTTCATATAACAAGTTGTTTTCAAGAGAAGAACATTAATATAATCCTTTATTTTCCGACAAAAAAATCAAAAAGCTCGCATTTTCAGCCGATAAACAACTCCGTTCGGCGGTTATAATATCACCTGCTGTGGAAAACACACGCTCGGAAGGAACACTTGTAGCAGGAATAGCCAAAAACTGGCGTGCAATTCTACTTATATTTGGATAACGATTGCTATTATCGCGCCACCAAATGAGGGGATTTATATGTATTGGTGATTCTGCTTCATGCATGTAATTCTGCAATTCTTCGAACCGGTTATATCCTGTTTGTTGTCTTGGGTTTTTTGTTCCAAAAAACAGAAAATTTAGTGCGGACTCCTCGGTCGTTGGTGTTGATTGTTCTTTTCTCTGATATTTTCACATTCCAAGATACGGGTTAGCTTCTCTAACACACTGCTTCGGAGCTCGTCACTTTCGAAAGCTAAATTTTTGTATCGAGGATCAAGAATTTCAGCTAGTAGCGCGCATGTGGGTTCGAATTGGCCGTAGAAGTTTTATTTAAAAACCGATCTTGAAGCTCTCGAACCGCCGTCTCTTTAAAATTTTTAATTAATACCGAATCTGTAGGCTTTCTTTTTAAGAAATTTTCTTTAAGACGGTATATAATTGGCCGCACCATTGAAAGTGTCACTCTTGATGCTGAAGACATTAGTGTTGTTGTGACATCGAATGCTTCTAAAACTACTAAAAGGTCGGTTATCGTGTCCCATTCTACTGCTGTTAAGTGCAAACTGCTACTTCCTGAGGATGTAGAATCTGAAAGAACGGCACAAACAGCTCTTCGTTGTTCTGCTAGCCGTTTTAACATTTTAAATGTAGAATTCCACCGTGTAATGCAACACTGCTCTAGCTTATGTTCTGGAAGTTCGAATTCTTTTTGTTTTTTCAGCAAAGCAGAAGTCTCCAATGCGGAATGACGGAAATGACTTACAATTTTAGTTGCTCTCTGTATAATACACTTGGCATATTCTAAAGCAGAGTTTACTGCGAGTTGAAGAGTATGAGCGAAACATGGCACACTTTCTCCAAGGCGATGAGAATCCTTCACTGAAGCCGTTACATTTCGAGCATTGTCATGTACAGTCGCTATGACTTTTCCGTCCATGTTCCACCGACTGACGCAGTCCTCAACAGATTTTCTTAGATTTTCTGAAGTGTGTCTTTGGGGGTGATCAAATGTTTCTAAAACATACGAGCGTAACTCCCAGTTGTCATCAATAAAGTGGGTAGTTATTGTTATATACGATATGACTGCTGTTGATGTCCATGCGTCTGTCGTTAAGGCGAACATATCTGCGGTTTTTAATATATTTGCAAGAGATGCGGCTGCGACAATATACAACTTTTCAATGTGACCTGTAATGGCCTTTCTCCCTGGTGCATTGTAGCCTGGTAGTGCTATGTTTAAAAAATGTTTAAATCCGGATTTTTCTGTAAAATTCAGAGGAAGCATGTCCTGTGCGATCATTTTGTAAAGAGCCTCGTTAATCACCTTTACCGTTTGCGGGATTTGTGATTTAGTACCCACATGCTTTGTATTATGGCAGGACAAACTTGTTTCTGCTTCAAAACTTGTAGAATCTACATCGGTAATATTCCAATCTGCTTCGAGAAGCTCCTCACTGCTGTTACATTCTCTGCTTGGAAATATTTAAGATACATGCATAATATAATTCATTTAAACATGTTATGTAAGTATATTACATTTCTGGCCTTTCTTTCTTCAAAGCGATGTTATGCACACGAGTGATATGGTAAATCAAGGAACTAGAAGTTCCTTGATACTTAAGCCATTTGTTGCATCTTCGACACTTTGCCCACTCCCGGTCGGCTATCACATCAAAATAGTTTTTTATTTTATAATTTTTGATGCTTGGCTTTTGAAGCATGTTTTTTTTATATTTTTTTTACAATTATTTAGCAGCAAACTTTATGTAGACAAATGAACAAAATGAACAGTTTATTGAATAATCATTTTTTAAATTACTCATATAATACTCGTTTTGAGTAATCAAAATTTTGATTAATCGAATAATTGAGTAATTGAGCAATTGATTATTCAACTTGCTCGAATAATCAAATAAACGCACAGCCCTAGTACATATGGAATGCATCGAATCACTTCGATTTATCTTTGACAATATGTATAAGTTTATTTTTAAACAGGTTTTCAAGTTACTGATCCGCATAGCACTCTGCTTGTCGGCATAGATTATAGTAAGCTATTTTTATATAAGGGGTGTTCACAGAGTTGACGTTAAATAAAATTTTGAACTTAAGCGAATTAGGGAAAGTAAATTAAATGTGACAGTCGAATAAATTTAATAAAATTACATGCTTAAATATTAATTTACATATCAACAAAAGTAAAAGAAAAATATAAAATAAAAAAATAAAAATAAAATAAAAACTTACAATAAAATAAATAACAAAAAAAAATATAAAAAAAAATATACAAAAATTATAGAAATAACAAAAAAAAAAATTAAAAACTTAAAATAAAAAAAATTAAAAAAAACCTAAATACATACAATGAAAAGTTAAATGTTAGTTTAAATTAAATAAAAAGTAAATGAAACCAAAAAATATATAAAATTCAAACAAAACCGAAAATGAATTAAAATCCTATTAAAATAAAAACCTAACTTAAAATTAACGGTAATTTTTAGCCATTTGAAGCTTGCACTTGCACTACTAGGACTCAATGGGCTACAAAACTGCATATATAAAATCTTTCTAAGAAACCGAATTAAAAAGCTCGAAATTTTTACGAAAGTTTTTTGATTTTTTTTTGAAATGTTGCTCAAAAGTTGGAAACTTGGAATAGCACTGTTTTTATAAAAAATAATTAAAATTAAATAACAAAAAAATATAATAACATGTTAAGACTTGTCAGTATGTGGTGTGGTGTGGCTATACTTTTTTCGTTCACTGTATAAATAAAAATAAATAATTCAGAAAACATCATTGTAAATTCAAGATCACCGCCGCCGCATAATGGCGGGTTTGCCTAAGTAGTAGAATGGATACAGTACACCATGAACAATTTCCACAATGTTTTTTTTTTAAGTCGATCAATGCCTAAATCTTCCAAAACATCTTTCTCTCGACCACAAGTTAGATGGACCAAATTTCTGGTGGTGTCTATTACATTTATTCTAGAAAAAAACGTGGCAAAAATGTTTAACCTCTATAGCTTTATTAAGCCAAAATTAGCTACTGAAATAAATTTGAAAAAAAGGTTTTATAGAACTCTATTAGGGTGGTCCAAAAATAAAAAGTTATGTCGGAATTTGAATGCTCTCACGCCCTAGGATGGTTCTATAAAAAAGGCAATAAAAGATTTACGCTTACACATACATATGTATGTTAGTGTTTGGCCGAGCTTCTCCTCCGATTTGTGGAAGGGGTGGAAGGACCTACAATTTTACGCTGACTCCGAACGCAGATTGTATTTTTATGTTTTTCATGAGGTTTGCCATTGCCTACCGAGGGGCGACCGTTGCTAAGAAAAAACCTTTTTTCTATATTTTTTGCGATGTTGCTTTGACCAGGGCTTGAATCCAGGCCACCACTACACCACAGCGGCCGCCTCTGTTTTTTTTATTTTGAAATCAAAAATGTTTAGAGGTCGCTCAAAGCGCTCCAAATTTTCAATGTACTTTAAGTGGGGAAAAACAGTTTTTCGTAGAAATAGTGTAGAATTTTTAAAAATCAATATTTTTCGATCGGAAAACTCTTCCAGTAATAATACTTAATTGTTTATTTGAGCATTTCTTAATATTAACTATTTTTTTATAAACTCCCAATTTCTGAAGAAAGACAAATATTAATTTTCAAGAATTCTATACTATTTCTACCAAAAGTTGTTTTTCCCCCATATAAAATACATGGAAAACTTTGAGAGCTTTGAGCGACCTCTAAATATTTGAAAAGAAGAAACCCGATGTAGTAGTCTTAACTTTTTCACGTGCATTTTTGGCACACCCTTATGGCTATGAATGCAACGTTGATCTGGATTAAGGCCGCAGTTTATGAGGCGGCCTATCAGATTTTTTCATTGTCCATGATTCTCCACCAAACACCAGATGATTACTGACTTATAGCGTTTCTAAGTTGTCAACTTTACTTCTCAATCGTCTACTCAGCCCAAAATAGCACTTGTTGGCAAGAGTGATTCTTCGTCGGATTTCAAGGCTGGCATTATTATTGGTGCTAGTTTATCTTTCGAAATTATAACTGCCAACGGTGATCTGGGTGCCAAGGCGAGAATGTGCTGTCTGTTTGTTGGATAACATCAGATACTTAATTTTGTCCTCCTAGCGATAAGAAAACAATCCTTGCCTCGTTTCATAATGAACATGGAAGTCGTTTATAGGTGCGTTTATTGGTGCTCTGTTTTTTATTTTTTAATTTTAATATTGCTTATGAAGACATAAACCAGATAACTACATTTTTTTGTTTGTATTCCAATGAAAAAGTATTATTCTGAATATAATTTTTTATATTAGATATTAATAGAAAAATAATGTTTTTCCCATATTGATCACTCTGTTCGGTTTTCGGCCTTATAGGTACACTAGTTTTATAACTAAACCTTATACTGTATCCCATATGTTGTTGTTGTTAAAGTTCCTTTAACGTATCAGCAGTCAATGGTTTCCTTCAAAACTTCAGAAAATTGTTGGAAGAATTCTATCTACACTGCCGAACAGAAGTATTGGCACAGCAAATTTTTCGCAATATATGCATAGTTCTTTATTCTAATTTATTTTCGATAATTTTTTATAAAAATATTGTTCACTCTACACCAGAAAACATAATATTAAAATCTCTAAACATTGTGTAAAACTCAGGAAAATTCATAAAATGTGCACACAAATTTGCAACTTTTTATTCAGACAGAGTGCAAATTTGATGTCGCTAGAAAATCGCATTGATTTTTGGTATTTTTTTTCACGCAAGTTCTTCTCTACAAAGTAATTCGACAATTATTTTTTGTATGGGGAAAATGAGCATCACCTTCCACTAAAATAATTGCCAAAAATCAACGCGATTTTCTAGCGAAAATCAATTGCATTTTATCATACTAGAATTGAATGGACTATAAAACTGCGTACTTAGAATTTTTCTAAAAAATCTGAATAAAAAGTTGCAAATTAGTGTACAAATTTAATGCATTTTCCTGAGTTTTGCACAAAGTTTAGAGATTTTATTATTACGTTTTCTGGTGTAAAATGAACTATATTTTTATAAAAAATTATCGAAAATAAATTAGAATAAAAAACGTTGCATATATTGCGAAAAATTCACTGTGCCAATACTTCTGTTCGGCACTGTATATGATGTACTCGTATTTTTTGTGTATATGCATGTGTGGGTGTATCAACCTCTTGATCTAAAGATAAAAAGTTATAAAATTGTATAATTACCATAACGTTGCATACCTACTTTATTGATCATGTGCGCAGAGCCTTTCATTTTCATACATACATATGCATAAAGTTTAGCCTTTTTTATCAGTCTTTGATGGCTCACCAACAACATACCAATATCTACATACCCAGATCAATGAGTGCATTTAAAAATTGATCATTTCTTGAAATGTAATGTACACAGCGGCGGCTGATTGGAGGCTGCTTTGTAAACTGGTTGAATTAGACAGGCCCCTCGTGCATGACGTCACGTAAGCAATAAAGCCTGCTCCAACACTCACACCACTGATATGGATTTTTTTTTTGTTTGCACCAGTAAGCGTGTGTTTATTCACTTGTTCGTACATATAATTGTACGTAATGCGATATGCAGAAATTTATGTACAGTGACCCCAACAAGTGACCACGTGTTTTTTCAATATTCACAATATTTTTTTTTTCAAGTTAAATTGGGTGTTGGTTATTTTTCTACGAAAATATTGTCGAAGTTTTAAAAAAATCATATAAATGAAACTTTCAATCTTTATGCAAAATTCAGATGAAAATTCAAAAACTCTTCATAAAAATTTAAAACTTCAATCTTGATCTTAAGAACATTTCTGTGTATGCAGTTTCAACTGGCTAAAAAATCCCGTTGACTTTTCAGATTTTTTTTGCGATTGTTTTTGTGGTTTTTATAACTTTTCGGAACTTTTATTTATATGGGGTTTGTTAACGCTTGGGTAATATTTTTATAAAAAACTATCAAAAAAAATTAGTTGAAAAACATTGTCAATAATTAGAAAAAAGTCAACACGTGGTCACTTGTTTCAGTCACTGTATGTCTGAATGTTCATTTGCACATTTACTAAAAGACTGTCATAACTCAAAAAAACTAAATTTTTGGGCAAATGATGCAGGATTACTTTTTATATAATGCTTCATATTGTGTGCTGAAATCTTTAGTAGTTTCCGCCTAAGAATACAATATCTATGCATCTCTTTTTTCTACATTTTGGGAGCGAATTGAATATCTTAAACGTGTCTCCTAAAAAAACTCGTTTTTGAGTTGTGATCAGTGTTGCCGTTTTGCTCCATATACTTCAGAAGTGATACGAAATTTTCGGAAGATACTTTGTTTTTTAGTACAAATTTGAAACATGTTAAAGAGAAAATATTTATGTATGTATGTATGCAGTGGCAGCTTTTAAAGTTTGATCGAAAATATTGAAACGTATTGGGGTCAAATAAGCTTAGAGAAATGTGCTTTAAATGAACTATGAATAAAGAGCTGACTTAATTCATTTTTAATTTACTTTACTTTACTTTACTTGAGAAAAGATAAAGTCGACACTGAAGGCAGTCTCAGCTTTTTGACATATTTTCCAACGAGTTTAACGTTAAATGTATCACATAATTTGATAATTAACGTAAATGATCGACAGCTAATAGTTTTAAGTATGTACATAAATATATTTGAATTCAAGTTTCTATAAAATCTATACATAATATTTTTGTTCGTCTCTATATAAGATTAAAAACAATAATCTCTTTTTCGATAGATTGTCACAATATGTAAAATATCTTTCTTCATGTACAAACATGCATATGCATGTGTATGAAAGCGAATTACATGATTTTTCGGTTATTGACAATATTAAAAAGCAAAGGTATGAAACCATATAGCATTTTCTTAAGTCTTTTCTAACTTGATACTTTGATACTTACATAAATAAAAAATTTGTGATACAATTGATCCATTTTTTGTTTCTTTTACGACAGTAAATGAGAGATACATATGTA